ACTTCAATAACAATGTGCAGGAAGACAGCCCTTTAGCGATTGAACTTCACGCAAAAAATTGCACATTTCCACCAATCGACTGGTTCTGCTGCGAAAAATCCAGGGTGTGTGAGGTCCTCAACTTGGAAAAAATCTTGTCTCTCCAACGTGGCCAATGGCAGAATGTGATCGGATTCGCAAGGTCCAAATAGCCCCCCCCACCCCCCACCCATCCACCCCACAAAAGTGAGGAAACCCGGGAGTCATTTACGTTCAGCATGGAGTATCGTTCATGCAAGAGGGTCTCTAGCAGGGAGCAATGCAGCACTTTCTGACCCTGCGAGACCACATCGCGTTGTCGACTCCCTCACCGCACGCCCTTGCACCTCAGACAGGCTCACACTTGACACAAAGGGGGAAGAATCGAAGGGTGGAAGGGGGACGAAAAGGGGCAAACGGAAGAGAGCGTGCTTCACCCCCCAAGTGCGCTCCAACAGATTGGGTCAGCCGGGCGAATCTCCCTTCAGCTTTTCGAGCGCAGGGGCCTCCCCCTGCCCCACGCAGCCCCCCATCCGCCCGCGCGGCAACGCGCTCGCGCCACACCGCGCCCCCCTTCCGGGCAGCTTCCAATCCCGTTCCCCACCCCGGAGCACCCACCCGACACCGACGTCCTCCTGGCGGGCTGCCTGCCCTCTCCTCCCTCCGCCCCCTTCCCGAAACGCGACTGCTCCCGCGGGCCCTTGGGCATGCCCAGCCGCTTCTTGGCCAGCGCGATGCTGTCCACCCGCCCCTGCACGTCAAGGTCGCCCTGCCCCTCCGACTCCTCAGAGTCGCTCACGTCGCCGGCCCCCCTGTCGGACCTTATCTTGTCCAGGCGCTTCTTGTGCACCGCGATACTGTCCACGCGCTTGCCCACCTCCAGCTCGTCCTCGCTGCCCTTCTTGCCCACGAGCGCCATAGCAGAAAGTGCGAGAGCGCACAAAGCGCCCGCTTGGCCGCAACCGCTGGCGGCCCGTCCGTTATCGCTCTGACGTCCCAAGGCGGGTCTCGTCGACCCCCTGACGCGCGTCGGAAGTGTCGGCTCGAGAGGTTCCGGAAGTCGGGAGGCGGCCGCGGGGGTGGGCGGTTAGCGCTGGCGGCGGGCGGGGATCTATGTCAGGGAAGGTCGTACAGCGCGGCGGCTCTGGGCGGGAATGACGGATGAAAACGGCCCCGGGCGGGCGGGTGGGTGGCAGGGGCGGGGAGGGCAAGTGGGGGTGGGGGGGTGGGGGTGGGGGGGGCATAGGGATTCCGAAGAACTGGCGCAATCGGCGAGCATTAATTAGACCAGTGTTTCTTGTCAAGTGTAAAACATGGAGCCGTGTTGATCTTCTTGCATCGGTAGTTTTCAGCAGGGCGTTTCGTAGCTGGTGGATCCAGTCGTTTAGAAATATGCGCTCCTAGGAGCGCACCGACCAGGCCTGGTCTCTGATCTGGGTAAAACACGGAGACAAGGAGGAAGCGAAAAGCAAATCTGAGGCGGCAGTGGTCCTTTTCGAGGTCTCGAACTGTATTTGGCGAGGGGAGAGGGAAGATATCCTGCCAGGGCATTGCTGCAAGTTGCTGGTGTGTTGCGCGTCATGGCCAGCACATGCATCATGATAGTAGGTAGCATCTTCGACACAGCCCTGGGCTTAATCTGTGGAAGCGTTGGAATGCTGTGGGGACGAGCTAGGGATGCCTCATTTATGGTCGCCCAAGCTAGCTAACTGAAAAATCGGAATTCTCAACATAGTGAGCGCTCATTAGTTTGCGAATTCTTGTTGTGTACCTCAGTTGCTGAACGGAAAGCCACGGTAATGTCTACTTGCTGCACGGCGATGTACTTGCCTGTTTGCAATTTGACTTCACGCACGTTGATGACGAATCTGCCGATGGCTCTGAGTTATGCTGGTGAGGTTGTTCTTGATTCCTCCAACAGCTTGGGGACAGCTGTTGCACTGCAGCGTGATCCTCAGCACTGGGAAATTTTCCGCCCCAACTCCGTATGAAAATTAATTGATGTTCAACGTCAACTTTATGCTGCTGTGTGGCGTAGCATACTAGAACCGGTATCGCGGTATCAACTTTCAATGCCCCTTCTTGGCTGCGCAGCAGCGGATGCGGGCAAGCTGTCGGTGTTTCGACGGCGGACATATAATAGCCACCATTTTGCGCACAGGATAAGGTCTCGAACAGCAAAAATATCTTGGCTGTATTCCAACCTGCGGATGCATGAGCCATGCTGTCGCGCGGTCCTAGGAGCATTCATACTCGAGCCTGATATAGCAATAGCAAACATTGGAACGCTTGGGTGAACGCCAAATATCATCTGGATGATGGTCAGGTCTCCATGCAATATTGTGGCTGCATCGACATGGATACAGAGTACAGAAACGCTTCAGACAAATGCCCAGATGCCAGTATTGACGTCGATCAATGTCATAATCGCCATCATCGTCCCATCATGATGTGGGCGTGACAGCATTGCGTCAATGCTCATACACTGGCCTTGCTGCAACACTATCCGTCGTCTTTATCAACGCCGGGTACTGTACACACATTATTTTTACAAGTTATACCTGTTTTCTAGTGGTCCTGTCGCTGTTGGGGTGACAGTGCCTCCTGTCGGGCCCCTTGATCGGAGCCTGACGTGCAAAACGCGACCGCGAGAACCACGACCGCGTTGTGCCGTGCGACCGTAGTTCATAATATCGGACAAAATGTTCTAATCGGACAAAATATCCGACAAATTCGGACTGCATGGGCTACTTCACTCCACAATGAAGCCAAATAAGAAGCGAGTATCAAAGGAGGTGAGGTCCTCGTAGAGCTGACGCCACCCGTTGGCGAGTCCCACGGCTGACGATGATGATCTGAATATTGTGAATGCTGTTGCGTTTTGCAAAGCCAACTGGGTCGTACTCACTGTGTTTTCCCCCACGACTGTGCAACACATTCACTGCCAGTCGACTCAAACCACCATTTACAATCACTCGTGATCCTCCCGTACAATATTTTTCATTTGTTTTTCCATCAGCTACGACTCTTCATCCCAGAGTCAGCCGCAAATCTAGATATTCACTCCCTCAACCACCGCACACGCGACAAAAACTTCAATCAAATGCATGCATATCCCTTATAAGACATAAGGAGCACTGAAATGTGCAATGAGGACAGAAAGCAGTGGGTGGGAATGAAAATACCAACGCAATTTGCATTCTCATGCCCTGCCAAGCCGAAGGGACCGCAGTCTCAAAGCTGCTTTGGGTCGCCGTTCAGAACTAACGGGCCTGAGGATGTTGTCATGAATGGTCATGCGAATCTGCGAAACGGCTCAATCGATCAACCCATACAGCTCCTCAGGCGGACGCCAGCACACACGCGCACAGGTACCATTCCGCAGGTGGACACACGCAGGCGCCGGTAGAATGCTATTTCTGCTACATGACACGGTCGTAGAGCCCAGACCATTATTCCTCCCCCATCTCCCAAGTGGGGAGGATATCGATAATCTCTTACTGATACCAAATAAAATATTTCTGCACAGATGCTCTTAGAGAGTTACGCTAATTCAAGGAACTCAACGGAACCCGACAAGGTGAAAGGCATGACGTATGCACCATTCACAGCAGTAGAAGCTGCTCGTAGAGAGATCCGACATGACGCTGCTGTAGATGCACGTCTCGTCGCTGCCATGCTGCCATTGTTGGCTTCACTTTGGGAGCTTTAACGGCTTTCCCAGGAGAACCATGCGGCGATAACGTCCCAGTGCCCAGAGTGGAAATATGTTCCTGGAATCAGACAACCATTTCTTGGGTCACAGCTGATTGGTTCATCCCACCAACAGAAGCGTGGCGCATAATTCCACCTTTTATTCAGGATGAACAGCCACACGTAATAGACAGGAGTTGATAAGGAGAAGAAGGAAAGCTTGTTCCGCAGCTGCGACAGAGAGTGCCATGATGCCTTCAGCTTTGAGCCGGATAGGATTTACGCATCAGAAGCAGATCTGCAATTTTCTTAAACATGGTTTGTCAGATATTCCAAACTGAAGCGCTTACATGGACATCTTCAATGGATATTACTTCTAAGTGCATTTCAATTGTGCTGTTAGAATGGCGACCTCGGTATAGCGCACAAAGGAGCACCCATTCCTGACAGGAGCATTGACTGTAGCGAAATTATTCGTAGCAAAGTACATTGTAATATCTACTCCCTGTCCAAGCTGGGCAGATGCAATGGCAATGTGGCTGCTGCACTCGTGGCACCGCCAAACCACTAGTAAAAAACAGTAAGAAACAATATAGACTACACGGTTTCCCAGAGCGCACGGTCGAAACTGCGTCAATGTGTATACTAGCTGTGTGGTTTTGGGATCACATTTGCCAAAAATACACAATTGAATTTTGAGCAGACCCTGTGAGGACTGTGTCATCTGGCCTGCTTTTTCCTGGTGAACAACGGTCATTTGTGGCTGCGAAGCAACAAATGAACTGTGTTTGGTAATATAGACATGTAAGAATGCCTTCAGGCTTTGTAAACTCATGAATGCTTCATATTTATGGTGCTGATGCATTCAAAACAGCTGTTATATGATGCCCACAAAGGAGAACGGTTGATCTGCATTCGAGAATAGCTGGCTCTGGTTTCAAATACTTAAGCCAAGATGGGCAGCAACCCCAACAGGGCAGCGTAAACTGTGTCTCTAACTTCAGCACAAGGGACGGAAGTGTAATTGTTGTACATTCTTTCATGCCTTGTGTGATCTTAAATGCATACTGAAAGTCTGATGCTTCCTTTTACCTTGTGCAATAAGCAGCAGTAAATTGACATTAAGCCCAACAAAAGCCAAAGAATGCAAGCCGGAAGACAGAGTCTTTGGAGCGGACATATTTGGAAATATCTGGACTGTCAGAGCTGTGCAACTGGGAGATGAGCTGGGAGAATCAATTTTATTGATAATACACGTAATCTGATGACATCCTCGCATATGGCATCGCTCATATACGCCAAGCAGCCTCTCCATACCTGTATTGAGAGAAACTGATCATGCAGTTCTTGTTGAACACACCGCTGATGTGCTGCTGCGGCCAGTCTCCGTCCACCTGCTGGGCATCCATCATGAAGCGAGCCGCCGCGTGCAAAGGCAGAGGATGGACCTCGTGGTAGCCGACCGCCATCAAGGCCATCACCGCCCATGCGGTATTGACAACGTGGGAGTCTCCATCCAGCTGGGAATAGACCTGAAGGTGGCGAAAGAAGTATGCGCACAATCAGGGGGGAGCAGCGAGCTCACACTCACAGGAATGCTGTTGAGAGGTTATCCACGGTGGGCGGATTATCGCATTCTCAGTGAGTACGGAGTACTCGGTACTCCGAGTACGGAGTACTCGGTACTCGGTATGTTGTGAACGCCTGATTGTAATGGTCATCAAGGATCCAATGGAAAATTGGACAAGTTCATTTTTGACCCTGTTGAGATATAGAGTTGTTGAAATTTGTTCTTCCGTAATGCTATCAAATTGACATTTTTGCCTCCTACGTGTTGCCGCTAGCCCAGACCGCCCTGCCATACGGCGATGGTCAGCTAGGAGTGATTGCGCATTGCTGGAAAGCATGCCACATGTAGGTTCACATGGTTGTGTTCTCTCACTGAGCGGGAGACGGGAGTCTCCCCTTCACCATCGCTCTCTCCGCCACCACGAGGACATGGTCCATGTCACGATCTAAATTGCTGAGGTGCTCCAGCTGCGGCGCCGCCCGACGCGTGGAAGTTTAGTGTGGACGTTAAGTGTACTGCATTAGCTAATTCTTCCTAAAGAAACATTGCTTTGTAGCAGGTGTGACACCTTCTCTTTCTCGCAGTACAGCAGATACCCATATGCAAGATTGCACCGCGATTCTGACGTGGTGCCTTTTGTCAGAGACTCATTGGTCTATTCCACAGATAATGGCCAGCCATGCCATGCTGACTACACTGACGTGTCACGCGCACGACACGTCCTGGAGCTGAAGCGCACGGTACGTTGGTCACAACACCAACACAAGTCCAATGAAAATCATGGAACTCTCCCACTGTGGGCGCATTTGTGACAATGCGCAAATCAACTGTGGTAGTATGAGGCCGGATACGTGCATACAGCATTGGCGCGGGCTGGCTCCCAAAATGTGCGCCCGAAAGTGGACACCAATTCCTCAAATTTACAACTGGTAATTCCAGATGTGGTCTAAATGAGGTAGAAGACTGATTCCTTGATTGGAGCAAGATAAATGGATGGAAATTATTAGATTAAGTCAATGGATTCAGTGTTTAATCGGAAAGTCTGCAAGGTTCCAAGGAACGACGCTCGCGTGAGCGTGCACGACAATGTCCGCATCAAAGCTGCGGGTCTTGGTGTTACGGACGTACCGAGGGACCTAACTACAGGGAGCGGAGAGAGAACTCCCACTAAGCGACACACTGTGGAATGTCGTGTTGATGAATGTTGATCACCGGTGCCCTTGTGTACCATTTCGAGTGTCAAAATTTGTGTGACAAGATCAACAGCAGGGGCTGCACTTACGCGGTCCTGGGATGATTTGTAGCTCTCTCCCCAGCCACCGTCCTCCTTCTGTTTGTCCAACAGGAAGTCGCAGGCTGTCCTTGCCGACTCGCTGGTGCTGTAAGAGTCGCCCAACGCTGCAAGGGCTTCGCAGCCGAACCAAGTGCCGTAGGTGAAGCACACTCCCCAAGATCCGTACCAGGAACCGTCCTCCCTTTGAATGCGCTGGATGAAATCTTTTCCTGTGGACAAGGCTTTGAGGCAAATGAGCGACTTGTCGGGCGCTTTACTGAAGAGATACATGCAGTAGAGCAGGTTGTGCGTACTGTACTTTGTGAACACGGTTACAGGCAGTGGGATGAATGGATGTCAGTGAGACATTTTGGTGCTAATTTGCGCACAAGACACGCTTCTGTTGTGACCCGAAATGCGAGGAGAAGCGTTTCCCAGCGGTGCTATCGACATTGCGATGCGCAACGACACTGCCGGTATTTCCACGTCGGCTTTTCCTTTTCGCTGCCAGATCGTTGATTCACCGGCTTGCCGCATGTGTGGGTTTTGGCGGGAGGACTGAGCACACATTTTCTTGGATTGTCCTGCTCTTCTAATGCCCGTTTTACATGCCATGATTCTGCAACGAGTCTGGTAGGTGCGGCAACTCAGTGGGACATATCTGAGGTAGTGCCACAGGGCCTTGGGATATCGGTGCCCTTTTTGACGCATGTGCGATGTGCGTGGGCTCGTGTGGGACATGGTGATTGAAGGTTGGAATTGATTTGTCTTCACCACATTTTCTGAACATGGTCCACGGGGATCTTATTATTCACGGCAGTTCATTGCGTTTCATGAGTCAATGGGGTGTGGCGACATGGGACCAGGAACAATAGATTCCGAACAAATTATCTGCTTGGTTTTCATGCCCTTCATCGCCTACCAGGAGCACTGGCTGTGTTTTGTCACTCTGTGACAAATGTAATCCATGGATTTTAATGATGATGACTACCGGTACAATAGCTGGAAGGCAACAGTAGCCAGAGCGAATTACATGGAAGAGATAAGTGCCTTAAATCCCCAAGCTGCGTACAGAAGTGGTCACTGGATTCAATTTAGCAGAAGCACCAATTCAGGAGCATCGCTTGCCTTGCCTTGTTTGGTGAAAATCCCACTATGTGGTAAAAGGTACGAAACACAACATTCTATTTGCAGAATGAATGTATCCAGCTGTGGCGAACACTCCATCGGGTTGTTGGCTTTGAATAGGAAACAATGAATTCACCCCTTCAGCGGCAAGATAGAAAGGCACATTTAATTTCAAACATTTCGCACAAACATGTGCAGCGCATCCACAGCATAGGAACTGAACCCAAGATAACATGCTGCAGATTAAATCCATTGAGAAAACTTGGGACAATTCACCTCTACCTCTCCATGGATGCACAGCCAATTCGCCTAATCCGGAGCTCAATATCAAGGGCAAAATAACCCCCATTTTCAGGATATTTTGATCGTAGGCCAAAAGCACCCCTACAATGTTCCTGGAATTTTTTATAATTCAGTTGATATGCCGACTCAGAAATTACAATAGGTCCTAATGGTATTCTGTAGAGTACGGGAAGGCAACTGTACCTCTTTTCAAGGCGCCGTCGATTTCTGCAGACCTGTGCTTCGGGTACGCCTTTCTGAATTCGCAAAGTGCTGTCATGCACGAAGAGCTCAGCTCCACATAATCGTAGTCAATCATGATGTTCGAGAAAGTTTCGGCAGCGTTGAAATTCTGCACAGCGCGGTGACATCAATGTTAGCCAAATTGCGGAATTGGCTCCGCAATACGCGCTGCCATTTGACGCCTTCGTGGGCCTCAAGCAGACCTGCATGCTCAGCTGGGCAGCTTCAAAGCAAATTGGCGACAAATCATGCCTGACATTTTAACTGTGATGCAAGCTTCTTGGCTGGGTGCATATCTTCTTGTCATAGTTGTCTACAATAATGTGCAACCAACACTAGTGGCGAATTTGATCATGTGCACACCGATGTTCACACTAAAATATATATGCATATATGCAATATATTTGCATAATTAAAAGTTGTTCTCCAGGTAAAAAAGGTCAAACATTCGGGCTCCCCCTTCTTTGAAGCCTGCTGTGCAATAAGAGTAAGAGATAATCTTATCATTTTATATCAACGTTTCCCCGAATTCCAGCACAGCAGGCCTGCCCTGGAGTATGTACATAGCTGCACACACAAACGATCACTCATGAGTGAACGAGACAAAATCAAACCATTGACTCTCTTTGATGCACCTCGGCAAAACTGTGACTCCTTGTGTTTTCGTACGTAGGCCAGCCCCCCGTCGAGCTTTGATAGGACAGGATGATGTTGACGCAATCGAAGAGTCTGTCATCTAGAAACGGTTGCTTGACAAATGTCTCGGGGCATGTCTGTAACGCAAGAACTGCCTTCAGCGCCTCGGCGGAGCAATCTGCAGTCGGCCAGCCATGATCTCTTGTTGAAAACGACCAGGCCCCCTTTGAGATGTGGCGGTAGTGCTCTTGGAGTGGCGGCATTGGATCTTCCGTTATCTGTGCATGTTTACACGTTGAAAATTCAACGGTGAAAGTTATACCGCGAAAATTGCCCGAATGTAAGGTATACAACAAAGAAAAGGAACATCAAATTAATTCAGTAGAATGGTGGCATGACGTAATGATGACACAGGGAATTATACCAGGGCGGGAAATATGTGCAGTTTGTCCAACCACAATTTTGTGACACCATCGCTTGTGTACAAGCACACGAAATCAGCCCACCTGAAAACGCCATAACGTAGCACGCAAAAGCAACTTCAAGTATACAAAAAGTTGCATTCCGCACGGTAATTATTTTATGGTAATGCAGGTGGGGTGCTGCTCTCATGTGCCTTGCGGCTTTCTATGCGCAGAATGCCGCGGACTGTGCCAGCGCACTTTGGCCCTCCGCTTTCACAGCGAGATGGTAACAAAGCGGGCACAAACAAATGAAATTTGTCACATTGGCAATCTCAAGCCCTCTTCAGCGACCTTTCCGCCCACTATGCTAGCGCTAAGCGCCCTGCCTCCGTTGATTAATTGTCAGCAATTATCTCAACGTACACAAACAACTGTTTATGGGTGGAATCGTGCATGCGTCCAATCCGTGCAAAGACTTGCAAGACAAAAACGTGATTTCGATGCACCTCCACGAGCACAACTACAAAGCATATGTGCCTGTATAGGCTGCATGATTTAGATGGTAATACATGGCAAATAATCCAAGGCAAGTATTTGGGACCAAATCGTAAATGTCTGTTGCACACATGTATACTTGCTTCAATAAATGTGCATTCGATTCTATCTATAAATGCATCTGTACTCAAAAATTTGATGAAGGTGCCAGACTCTTCTTTGTCCCCATATCATTGAATCACGTTCGATACTACAGATTCCAGACTGCTGTTTTAAGTGTATCCCATTTTCGAGCATAGCTGCAATTCGCCAGGAGCTTTTATCCAGGTACTGAAATCCTCAGCACCGAAGACCTGATATATGTTGCATGCCAACACGTCATTTTAGATTCAGTTAGCGTGCCTTCCTGAAATGATTGATTACACATGTCAAACGTACGGAACCGAATCTTCTGGGGGACGAGCGTGCCCCTGCAGTGCGTTACATGAACATCTTAGAACTTGCCTGTGACTTGTCTAGGAACTGGTGTGCCAGTTGCAGGCAATCTCCAACTTCCTTGCCAAGTCCTGTCGCAATCATTGCCTGTACAGAGAAAGCCGTGTCCCAAACCTGGGACCCGTTGGTCCCCTGCATCTTCATACCATCTTCGGAAACCCACATGTAGTCAGGGACACGGGCAAGGTGCCTGTGGGATATGAAGATGCAAGCAATATCCTTTCCATGGTTGTAAATCTATGGAATGGCATTTCACAATACAAGGCGTTGCGGTCGCAGTTCTAGGCGGTAGCGTACATGTGTGCATCGAAGAGGCTCTATTCCCCTCATAATTTCCCTTTTTCCATTCGCCACCCATGTACTACATAGCCGTGTGGCTACTAGCCATACGTTGCTACATCATGTCCCTTACTCGACTCATGTCCACCGCCCATTCTTTCCATGGTTTTTTGGAAGAAATCCATAAGCATATAATAAGCATTGCTTCGACACCCATTGAAGGTGGCAGTTGTCTTGTAAGTAAGCAAGCGTGTGGATCTTTGGTAATTTTGATTCGATTTGAGGCACATATGCAATAGCAACGCGATGATGGCATCCCGCCGTAACTTTGGAGTCAGATTCCTAAGCATCTATTCCATTGTTTGTCTCATGTCAGCAGGCGCAAAGGACATGATATGAAACAGGATATGGAACGAATGACAAATCTTATAGATACAGCTGATCGGAGGATTTTAAAGCGCTCTGGAAGATCTGAACAATGCAGCAATGCACACATATGGGCTCCTCACTTCTTGAATGCCTCCGAGTTGGGGTCTTCCAGCCAACAGGCTAGAAGGTTCATCGACTTGCTTACGCCTCCAATGTCTATGTACCGCGTGCTCTCATCCTTGTGAAACAAAAAAATCAGAATTATGTCGCCCTATGAAAAATTCGACTGACTCCACCCGAATATTATTTGACAGTTGTTTCAATGCAGTGGAGTGCACCAGACAGCTTTTTGATCAGTGGGTCAATTGATTATGTGTGAAATATAAGCATATTGAATTCGACAGAAATCATGTGTAATGGCCGAAACAGCACTAACAAATGGTGCAACAGACAAGCAATACGGTACAAATTTCAAGTATTCTTCGGTGAACACGTTTGAGCATAGATACTAACAGGAGCGGCATTACCTGGTCGAAAAGCTTACACAACCTAGCCAGGGTTCTTCCTTGCATGCTCACCTCATAGTGTATGAGTTTGAGAGCTTCTTTCAGCGCCTTTTTTCGAAGCGAAGACCCTGCAAGCACGTTTTCACATTTGTATAGAAACCACCACAATGCGTCCTGCGGACATGAAAGCACATGAAAACCAATCAATTGTTGGAATTTGAATTTGGGTTCTGGATATGTGTCATAGGATAACTGCAAAATTATACAGAAAGTACTGAATGCGCATTTCATAGCATCAATAAAGATACATATGTTATATGCTTATACATGGCTACTATCACCAGGGAAAATTACGCATTAATTGCGCATGGCACCCACAGCTCAATCGTAAAATTGAATAAAGACGTACGAATAACGATTCTGTTCATTTTGACTTGCTTTGGCACTGAGCAGCATTGTATTTTTTTCAATATTTACTTGCTCCATTTTTCATAGGAAGTTTTTCACTGTGTAATTTTAAGTCATACTGCCGAATGAAATAGAACTTGAAGTTCTATCAAAAATAATGAAGTCCTATTCTATTTGATTTTCAGTGAAACTTGTTCCAAAGTTTTACGCATAAATTTAAAGCGCGAAGCCACAACACCAAGGCAATTCATTATTTACTGTAATTTGATCACACTCTTCAGAAATGCCCTGTGGCCAGAAACTCGATATTGGCATATTGATGCAAAAGCGGTCGTCTTGGCGATGGCAAGGAAAAAGACTGCGCGGCGAAACAGACAAAAAATTACGTAATCGCTACCAGACATCTATCCAAGCCGCCAAACTGAAGGTTGGCCCAACGCTCGTGAAGAACCAAAGGAAGACAGTATAATCAAGTAGAAATGCATTATATTGCATTCATTTGGTGGCGTTATTTTGGATCAGTAATTGCCACTGTATCATTTTTTCGGTGACAATTCGAGAGTTTCATGGGAGCCTGATCAACAAATTCCACAGGATGCGCGCACATTCACCGTTATATAGCCAGTTTGAACTGCAAGGGAATTCCGTTGCACAGCACCGACAAATGCATGCACGTTTCGGATGAACGCCACCTAGACACGGATAAGAGCACACCTGTATGAAGGGGTGCGGAAAATACAAGTCTTCCTTTCCACACAAGTTTCTGGCACCGTTCCAGTCTATCCCATCGTACGGAACTGGGTAAAGCTCCTCCCTGAAGAAGCACAGAAAACAATTTGGGCGATGCACCATTGTGTCGAGTCGGTCTACGTGATGCAAACATGACCGCCAATCGCAGTATATCGGCAGCTTGTGATATCGAGGTTTCCTTCGAGACCGCTGCAGCAGGCAGCCAAATGTCGCGTTCAAACTCTCATGCACAGCCAAATTGAATGCAGGGTTGTTGATGTCAATGGGAATGTACCCGACCTATGGGATTCCTTCTTATTCTGATTAGGAACAAAATGAAGGTGTTTTAATGCTGCGACACCTTCATTTGATTGGAATTATGCTGCACAATTATTGGCGCTAAATGGGGTCAAATAAAGATCAATCATCGTTTCCAAGCCCTCGATAGAACGGCGGTTGCGTCAAGTATGAACCTGGCGTTAAATGGAATGCAGCAATGTGTTGCCTCAGTACAGCACGCTAAATTGCTTAAATTCCAGAGCGATGTACCGCAATGCCTTCACGAGATCGGTCTCCTTGCAGGTGCCTCGCACTCCGTATATGTAGCTCATTGGCAACATCACCTGAAGAGCAGCAGGATATGAGACTCAGGAAACGGTTGAACTAATATTCTCTTTGCAAATGCCTGACGATACTCCGCAGATGCTTGGTCTCCAGGAATTCGTGCCACAGGCATGGCAATCATCTGATCAGCGTGCCGCAGCGTGTGCCTTCTTTTTGCGACCGCCCTTAATTGGCGCTGGTGTAATAGATCGATACAGGAAGATGCCGTATGAAACTTGCAACTGCTTGCGTCGGGTCAGTGTCATGTGAGTGTGTATCGCAACGGCAGGCACACAAGATAGAGCACCCAATTTTGCGAAATCGCGAACCAATGTGATTGACACCATATATGTGATACTGTGAGGCGCTATGAACGGAGGAAAGTGCTGACAGGGTTCAATCGTCTTCGAAGATGCTGAACTATAAAATTACGGAAAAGCGAGGAAGCTTATGTCAAACCTGGAGACTGTCAGCACCGATGTTGAATAGTTTTAACGTTGTGCAATATGCCGACAACGGGATGCACAGGGCTGCAGATATCTGTATCCCTGTGCAGCCTGTTCGAGCAGGCCAACTTAGTTTCGCACTGGTAAGGAATTCCTTACCAGTGCAAAACTGAGTTGAGGCAGCAGGAAGCCTGCCTGCAGAGAGAGTTCCTTTTCTTGCGGACATGACATGAACGCAAAGCACTGCCACTTGAATCTGGCCGTATTAGTGTGAATGCATTTATAGAAAGTTCCTAATGATATTTTATCTCTGGTTTGTTTTGCTGTACAGAAAATAGAGAAGCAAAGGCGAGCTCTTTACCTGCCTGACGTGACACCACATCCTTCCAGGATGCAGCAGTCCAATTCCTGTCCACGCGGAATATGGCAGGAGCCACATTTCAGGAGGCACCGGGTTAAGTCCGTCCCAAGAATATGCGCCCAAGACGGCAAGCCAAAATTTTGCCCAAGATGTGTTGTATTGGGCACCCCCTCGATCATGAATCTGCCACAAACGCAGAAGACATGCAAGAAACCTTCAATCAAAGGCGGAAACACACAGGAAAAGATTGCAAACAATTTTTCTTATGGCCTTGCACATGACTTCGCGTGAAGTTGCATGAAAATGTGCCATCGCGGCAGTTTGCCATAATCATGCGCTCCACAGCGATGCCATGGTACTGGCCAGTCAGCTGGTCTGTGATTGGTCATATTGCTTGTGGACATTTACGCGCCTCGCAACAACACAGACGCAGTATATTGGTTGACAGGCTTCCAAACATTATGGCATGCAGCAATTGGTGCATGGCTATTATGCCCACTTGTAAGAAGAAGAGCAGCAGATTCCTTCTCATCAAGATATCGTAATGCTATCCCCAGATGACTGCCTACCCATTTGCGAGCAGCTGCCACAGCTTCATCGTCTCGATCTGCGCCCATGATGCGTAGCACACAGTATCTGCACAGAGGAGTGAGAGAAAACCGCAAACATCAGAGCCGGGCATCATGGTGTCACCGAGGAAGGTGATTGGGTAAGGGGAGAGGGAGATAGAGCGGCGAAGGCTGGAATACGCACTGATGAGAAAACTGGAACGTTTGGAGCGCATTAGGATACGAAGGGTTTTGCAGCACGAGCAGCTTCAGCCTTCAACCCAAATCCTGAGGGAAGTGCCAAAGTTTTGGAGCCAAAACATTTGGTCGACAAGGACTAGTGGCAAATCGATTCTGTGTGGCACCGCGCTTCAGTGCTACGCGCAACCTGGGACATACAACGCAGCTCTCCAACTTACAAAGCACCAAACCAAAGCACTGCAGCACTCTTTTGTACATCGGTCGTGCCTGTGTTTCTACGATTGCCGCACACTTCGCCACGCCGGCTGTGTTGAATCGTGCGACGGGCACGGCAATGCAAGGAACGCCTCGCAGCCGCCCCGATCCCACCTTCCCCGCCAAACGCCCTTCTGGCGCGCCCTACCCCATGGACGTGCCGAACATCGTCGAGTGGCCCTCGATGTGCAGCCCAAACCCGCCGTCCTCGTTCTGATGGTTCCTGTGGTACCTCAAGATCTCCGCCCTGGCCTCCGCGCCAAAAACCCTGTCAAGGGCGCCCGTCGCGTACAGAGCGATCACCATGCCCGGCATCAGGAAATTCGGCCCTCCGTAGTCCCCCGCCCAGTGACCGTCGCGCTGCTGCAGCGCCGCGTAGTATTTCAGCCCGCACAGGACCTGGTGGTCGACCTGCGACACAGCGACGGGCCCCCGGCCCTGCACGACGCACGGGTCCTTCACGACATTGGCCCCGGCTGCCTTGATCCTGTCGGCGGCCTGCAGCCGCAGGAGCTCATCCGAGCACTGGCGCTTGGCGCGCCTGTTGTTCGCGAAATTTTCGCGAAGCTCCTCGACTTGTGCGCGCTGCTCAGGCGTGCCCGCCTGAGGGTCAAACTCCCAGTGCTGCCGCCCCACGTTGTCGTTAAGGGAGGTCAGGAGGGGGCCGCCCCCGGCGGTCACGAGGCGCCACATGGCGTCGCGCCGGCCGGCGCAGGTCGTGAGGAATTCGCTGCAGCTGGGGATCGCCTGGCCGGTCGGAATTTGGGCGGAAGACTGGGAAGGGGACGTTCGCCACGTGTGCGGGCAGGTAAGTCGACGTCAATCGAGGGAGACGTCACGGGCGGTGGGGGACAGGGCTCCCGACTTGTCGCGTCCATCGTGAAAGGGTGGAAGCTGCTGTTGACGAAGGCAGGCAGGGTCGAGGGGCCCCTCGACCACCCCGGGGTGGCAACCCCCTACGGGGACCGTAGGCTAGAGTCCACGGCAACAACGTTGTTAACAAGAGACAACGGGAGTTTGTCCCTTGTATCCAGGCCGTTCATCAATGTCCTTCATGCAATTCCGGATTCCTCATCGCTTCTTCATGCGTCCAGCTGTTGATAAGGCACGATTAGTTCTGGTTACGACAGTGCAATGTTGTGGGTGCTTTATCGTGCATGCAATGCCCATCCACGGCTGGGAAATACCCACATGACGATATTGACAATCGCTGATGCGCGTGCCGGCATTGCACCAGTGCTAATGCGCTGGACTTGCTGGAGCGCTGTTCGGCGTTTAAGCAATGATGCTGGACACACACCATTGCATCAACGTCTACCCATTTTCCAGATGCCGCTCGCTTCCCTGGAAGTTGGCAGGTGTTACGAGGTGACAAGGCAGGTGTCCACAGTTTGGAAGCGTGTGGCTTGTGCAGTTCCAAACGCAAAGCTTGCCGCGGTTGTCTGCAATCTGCGTTGCAAATCGTCAATCGATCAATGGTAAGCTGAGAAGCAACTTGGAAGCCACCAGATCCGTTCAACTTTGGACGGATCTGGTGGTTTCCAATTGGAAGTTCCTTCTCAGGTTAACGCCCCAGGAACGGCATGCACGGATGAGGTGACTCATGAATCCACAGACCATGGCCACAGAGGGCAAATTCTGGTATTCATTGGGATTTGATCAGATCCCAATGATTACCACAATTTGCCCTCAGTTTTCCAGAGACACCACGTAATCAGCCCACATTACTTGCAATGTATCCTCTGTCCGGAATTAAATGAAGCAGTTTGTTGGGAGGCTGCATTCGTATCATGTACTTGTTTGTTTTCTTGAAAACGCATCCGCAGCACCTACTATACATGTATTAGTTGCTACCAAGAATTCAAAACGAACGTTTGGGCACAGCGCATTCGGCACTGCATTGAACCAGTCCAGAATTTTTTGGACGCTCCCAGGGCATCCCCCGCCCGCCACAAATTGCGTTCCCGGGTCCGGGATGGGCCAACACACGCGCCGCCCCCTTTGGTAGACTTCAGGGCAATGGGAGGGCAGAGCGGCCAGTCTTGCTCAGGCTCTATCGCAACGGTCGGCGAAGGACAGCCAGTGGAGATTGCGGATGGTTGCGCATCTCGCCATCGCTGACTTGCGGAAATCCCTGCCATCGTCCACGGCGACGCAAGGACATATCTGGGATCTGCCATTGCCAGCAGGTCTTTTGGCTTCTCAAGGCTAGCCTTGGAACAGCTGCGTGCATCGAAAGCTCTCCTTTCGTTGCGGATCTCCAATGAATGGCCTGATTGGTGCACAGAAAGCCTCCTCACAGGACGACATCAATCCCACCAAACACGACCGATGGAGGGTGCGGATGCTCCATCGGTGACCCGAAGTGGTGTATGGTGGTGCTCTTGCGTTCCACAAGGGCGACGTCAAAATCTGTTGCAGCAGCATCTTTCACCAACATCGCCTCTGAGGTGCAAGCACTAGGAAAAAAAGGGCCAAATAACACTTTTGCGAACACACATGAAACACATTTCATCGAAGTTCTACACGCTAAGAACACAAAAATAACACAAACCCGTAAACTTTCTACACGTTTGAGCACGTGTTATTTTGCCCTTCCTAGTCCTTAAGGGCAGTGTTTTGTCATGTTTATGTGACAAATGTAATCAAAGGATTTGAGCATCTTTCACAGCGGCGTGAGCAGCAAATTAAACTCTCCTTGTGGCCAGTGCCTGGGTCAGCAGACCCAACGATCTTCTCGCTGCTTTGAAGCAAGTTGACAATCATATTCTTCCAAATTTTCCGTGGGTGCCTGAACACTTGCAGCCACCCTGCCCGAGGCGGCGAGCCCTTGTGAAAACGCCCTGATAGCGAAGTTCCCCAGATTCCGGATTTCCTATTGGAAATTAAAATGCTCAAACGGCCATCAAAACCACGGCCGCGATCGACGATCGAGAAGTACGGATCTCGGTTCCGCGGCCTCTGTGCTTCGAGAGGAAGGCCTCCGACCTGCCATTACAACGGCAGAGGCAGATATCTACTCCGCGCCGCGCACCGAGGGGGGGGGGGGGGCGCGAGCGTGAGAAAATTGGAGTCTTGGAAAAAGTGGTTTGGGCTCAAAGAACTGCAAAACGACCTGTACTTATTCCTTATTTACAAAAATTTGAGAGCATGTACTAACCTCGTAGGCAGTGCTCTGGCAAAATTTTTAAGACGAAAGAGTAAGCACGCGATACAAAGATTACCTCCCAAACAAATTGTTTCATTTAATTCTGGACAGAGGAAGTACATTACTATTTTGCCCAATACATTACCATGGTTGTGCACTGCACCTCGTATGGTACATAGTGCTATTACATTGTTGGGTGAAAGGGTATATGAGGTACTGCCGCCACTAGCACCATATTCTAGGACTGATGGTTGTAATGGCAATGATCCACAACGGTAGAGGCAGTGCAAAGGCACTTATAACAGGACGAATCCAGGCCGATACAACTCCTTTGTCTTCAGCACCGAAAGCATAATACATGTTGTATTTCAACTTTCAGCACATGCTCATAGGCTCTATTAAACCCTATTAAACATTGGCATTCATGCATATCCAATTGGATGTGTCCGACGTCGGATGCCGTCGGGGCTGCATCAGAGGCGCTCCGACGTCGGACTCCGAGAATTCTGTAACCACAGTCATGGACATTTGCTTGGCCCATCCCACAAAATGAGTCATGTGCTTGAAAATAGTGTCCACTTGCTGGCCATAAGACGTAAATCCGACTCACGCGCCATTACCCACATGGAAGATATCACCCCAGGGACTCATTGACAGTGGCCGGCGTGTAGCATCCTGACCACAATTGTAGGACCCGCCGTTCGTGGTGCTGATATGGCAGTGACCAGTACATGATTTACAGCCGGTTGTTTGACTATAAGGGGACATAACTTTCCGCGATCTCTTTGTAACTATGTTCCCCCCATATTGTGTCTCCAAGCTCGTGGCCTGCCTCTGACATTGTCTCACCCCGAAACTATCGTACCGTTTCAGTCAGCAACATCGCGAGATGAGGTGGCAGCACTTTTCCGCGCTTTCGACAGGTTGCGATATTTGGCCAGCCTGCCGCTTGGCCAAATTGTCGCTGACCCGTGCCCAACATTGCCCAACGAGCACGGTTAATAGATGACGGCCGCTGCCTCATTTCGCTCATTTGCGTCGTGCCCGCAGGCCTGGCCAGCGCCCGAGATTTCGATCTTGCGGCAAAAGGTGCGGAGATCCGTACGCGCCAAAGCAGCAGGGAGGCCCTCTTCCCGGATCGCCGGCTGCCCCGCCTCCCTGCCGCTCGCCTCCGCAGCCCGCAGGCAGTCGCGCGTCGCCATGGCTCCCTTCCTCCAACACACGGCGCCTCAGGGCGTGGCCGCCTCCAAGGCCCCGGCCTTCGTGGGATCCGCGAAGGCCGGCAGGGTGCAGGTGAGGACAACGCGCTGGTGAGAGAACAGTACGGTGACGCGCCGAAGGCTAGCTGGAAAGCGAAGAAAAAGGGAGGGAGAGGGGCGTGTGGATGTCGGAGTGCGCGTCGGGGTGGCCCAGCGAGGCATGGCGGTGGAGTGCGTGGTGAATGCCGTTGGAGGCATGGGCGAAACCCCACCGGCGCCCACGCTTGGTGGGGTGGGGTGGGGTGTGGGTTGGGGTGTGGGTTGGGTTGGGGGTCTCTCGACGAATGACGTAGAATCCGTCAGATGATTGGCCCATTGATAGATATGTCCTGCCTGTCGGCCGCTTGATTAGCGTTTGCCCGATCGCGCTGGCAGCGTGCACCGTGCGAAGGTTCTGGCAGTGAGAGAGGCTTGTTTCGCCCATTCGGGGTGGTGAAGGGACCGTATCGACCAATGGCGGGTCCTCCGGTTTTGGGAACCCTTGCGCCGACAGAGCAGCGGAAGCAGAATGTGTTCTGTGGATGATGTGGATGATCAGGCATCCGGGGTGTTACGCACCCGCTGAAACATGTGAATTCCGAGGTGTTGTTTCGGCGACGACGTCTGCTCACATCCACGTTGATGCCCAGCTGTTTCTGTGTTCAGGCTGCCAGGAATGTGGCGGTCAAGGCAGTGGACAGGCCTGTTTGGTACCCAGGAAATGACCCTCCCGCCCATCTAGACGGCAGGTATTCATCCAAGTTTTCTTCCTTCAACTGCGGGTCTCATCCCAAGATCTTGCCGAGCCCATCAGAATACGGACTCTGCACCTGCTGGAGAACATTTCCGTAAATCTGACGAGTTCCCGAACCTGTGCTCTGTGGTGCAGCCTTCCTGGAGACTACGGTTTTGATCCCCTTGGGCTTGGTTCCGATCCCGAGCTTTTGAAGTGGTAAGGGAGCAGACAACAGTTGTGCAAGTCCCTCCAGAAGCAGATCACACAAAAGTGTGACAATTAGATCAGCCAATAATGGGCTTATTGTGGGGATCAACGGAGGCAGGTGTGCATCCTGTGTGGGTGAGATCAGGGCTAACACAGCACTTTGTGCGATTGATTCCTCAGGTTTGTCCAGGCCGAAATTTTCCATGGTCGATGGGCCATGACTGCAACAGCAGGCATTTTGATACCATCGGTATGTGTTCCTTCTTTCCCCCCGTTTTTTTATTATCTTCCAAACGGCCTTTGATAATGTCACGTTTAGAAGTCAGCACTGCTGCTTTGTCGACCATATGTGCACCGTGTGCCAGGGGCTCGTGCTGTGCTTCGATTGTTGTCATGCTCATGGACTAAAGCCCCGCTGGTGGGAAGTCTTTGGATGATTTGTTGAGGAGCTGCTGTTGCCGTGTCGATGGTGCAGATAGCAACCAAGACAGGGGTTGTGGACATCCCGGAGTGGTATGATGCTGGCAAGGTTTTCGTGGAGAACACGGGCATTCCTTTGAGTGAGTGCATGAACAGTTCCATGCAGTGTATCATTAGTGTCTGTGCACCGTTCTTTGTGCTTGACATCGACATGGGTTCATCCGCTATGCAGTTCCCATGCTTTCTGTTGATTTGTGTGAAACGAGAAATTGTGTATTGTTACATTGCAAGATGTGGTGTGTGGCCCAGTACCCTACAAACGAGGTTGTCTGTTGAGAGGGGCACAGTTGGCTTTGTGCATTATGTGTGACGATGGTCCTGGCAAGCGCTATTATTATGGACACATGTTCAATATCCATGGATTGCATGTTGGGGGAATTGTGACAGGTGTTTTCAGCGAGCTTGCTCAGCAGCGCCAGAAAGGAGCCTTGTTGCTCAATTGTTCTTCAATTCATGCAAATGCAAGGTTGGCAACAACTTGACTGACACACTCCTGCACGTGGCCCAGGTACACTCCTCATGGCACAGATCCTCCTGATGAACTGGGCCGAAGTCAAGCGGTACTACGACTTCAAGAACCCAGGGTCGCAGGGCGACGGATCCTTCTTTGGCTTCACGGAGGCCTTTGCTGGGAAGGGCAATGGCTATCCGGGGGGAATGTTCTTCGACCCCTTTGGCTTGGCCAAGGGCGACCCTGAGACGCTCAAGGACTACAAAGTCAAGGAAATCAAGAATGGGAGGCTGGCCATGGTCGCCATGGCGGGATTCTACGCGCAGTACGCGGCGACTGGCAAGGGACCCATTGACAATCTGATTGACCACATCCAGTCGCCCTACACAACGACCTTCACCAGCAATGGTGTGTCGGTGCCGTTCATCAGTTGAACAAGAGCGAGAGAAGACAATTGCAATGCGTTTTTCCTTGTAATCTACTCCAGTGTATTTTGGTGGGTGCCTCGCCCCAAGCTGGCGTTGTGTGAAAGGTCGCTGGGGTTGCTCTGTAAATTCAGCCAGGGGGCGTTGGTGTGCTCGCAGTGATGTGGTTTCCTGCCTGCAAGAGGCTCATCTCATGACTGCATGCTGTGAAAGCCTGCCGAATGTCTCATAACCCCATCTGGCATACCAACTGAGTGCTGTTTCGGGTTAGCATGTTGATGACATGTGGAGAAGGTGGCTTTAGACGCCAGATACATCATCAAAGGGTGGGCATTGCCTGCTGTGTAGCGGCATAGCATGCGGCTGCCAACTCCAATACTTGTTGCTGGAAATGAGTGACAGCTTTCTCAGCCCCCCCGCAACACTGATCCCTGTTGCTTGGCCTGGCAATGGGTTTTTCGGCCGGCCACGGCTAGTGAGACCTGTGTTGTGGCCCCACACTGCTCTGTTAGTCCGTCGCTTGTCGGACATCTGGGAGACCCAGCAACAGAATCGCTCAGGGTCATCTCCGATGTACCGGCTCGACATGGGTTGCGATGTCAAGGGTGGTACTGTGTCGATTTGCCGATATTCATGTGGCATTTGCCGACGGTCATGCTATTGCTCATTCCAAGGAGCAAAGCCCGACCAATACGTGGTGATCGACTGGGTGACACAAACCACAGCTTGGTCAGAATTCGGCATGGTCAGCTGCACAACGCTACGCACAAGCCACATGAGGACGCCACCGAATACATAATAAATGTGAGTAAAGAGGACAGGAATATGCGCAATTCCACAGGCTTGGCTAAACCCTTGAAAGACCACAGTTAAAGGCTCCGAACTTCATGAAGAGTTTGGTTCGAAATTGCAAAATCACTGGCGAAAGGCCAGAAGAAACATGTACAAATTATGGCTAGTACGGCAGTGTGCCTTGCAAAACAAAACACTGTGGTTTCAGAGGAGCGCGGTCTGAGCCGGAACGAGTTTCACAATGCGAAAAGGGTGAACTCACAGCTGCAAGGCTTGCCAAACTCCCAGGAAAATAGAGACACGCCTCATAACGTAGAGTGTTTTGCCCGTGGGCGAGCGGGCACAGAGGTAAAGAGTGTCTCCGCACCGCTGTGTTGAAGGGGTCGAGCGCACACCGCCGTCGGCGCGACAACGCAAGAGAACCCGCATCTCATCTTCGCGACCAGAGCGCCACAACCGACACAAATCGTTCCGAGAATCGCGCAACGGATTCGACGCATTGGCGTCGCGGCTGACCCAGCCCTCGCCCCACCCCCCCCAGCACCCCTCGCCTTGCATCTCGTCACCCCGACCCCACCCCTGGCCCCGGCCAGACGGGGACCGCCCCCAGCCCGACGCCCCGCCCACGTGTCCGCCGGGCCCAAATTATCCGCATCACAAAAACCCCACCTTCCGCCCCCCACTACGATTCCCTCAGGCGCGCCAAGCCCCCAGCACTCCCGGATGACGGTGCCCCCGCCGCGGAAGCCGCGCACCGGTATCCAGGCCGCGCCCGCGCCCACCCGCGGCAGCACACCGGCGCTCGGGGTACCCCTTGACCGGCGGGCGCCGGTCAAACCGGGCTGCCCCTCATGGCGGAGGCGGCCCTCTTAGACGGCCTGTCGCACGCTGGCCCCCCCCTGGGGCCCCTCGGGCGCCCGCCCCCCTTGAGGCCGCAGCAGAGCGGCGGTGCGAATCCGGCCGAGCCGAGCGGGAGGGTGGCCGGGGGCGATGTCGGGCCCCCGGGCCTGGGGGTGGGGAAGGAGGGGGGGAATGGGGTGGGCGGCGGCCGGCCGGCGTCGCTGGCGCATTGGGACATCGTACGGAAGCGCATCGTTAGCGCGGTGGGCGCGAGCCTGGGCTTCAGGACGCTCAGGGACATGTACGGGGACTTCATGCTGGACCCGGGCAAGCTGACATGGGTGAAGACGCTGGGAGGTGGGCGGGGAATGGGGGACAATGGGGGCGCTCTTTGGGGTGCGAAAGTGCCCGGGGGCGCTTGTCGCAAGTGCTGACGCCGGTATGGCGGGGCTGCTGCTGCGGTGCAGAGGGGAACTACGCGCGTGTGGACAAGTACAGGTACGCGGACGAGCCGGGCGGGGAGTCCTTCTTGGCGATCAAGCGGCTGAAGAGCAGCAAGGTCTCCGCCCAGGCGAGTCGATGGTCGACGCATGCCGGCCTGCGGTGCGCGCGCCTCGCGGCGCAGGTCGGCGGAGCCCGGTCCCCGCCGCCGCGGCGCGTGGGCTGGGGCCCCTGGGGCCGCGCGGGCGTTCCCCGGTCGGGGTCGTCCCGGGGGATTGCTGCTGGGGTCGAGGATGCCCTTCGACCCGACGTGCCGAGGGTGGCTCACTCCGCGGGGGGGACTGATTCCGTTTTGGCTTGGCCGCAGGACATGCTGGATTTCATGCGGGAGGTCGAACTGCTAAAGAAGGTGAGGGGGGATGATTTGGGGCAAGTGGGGCGCCCAGCTGTGCTGGCGCGTTTGGGGAACAGAGAGGGGTCGGGCGCTGTGCAGGGGGCCATTTGAGGACGTTCCCTGCCGCCCGTCTGACTCCCCTTTTGTGCTGCTGCGACAGCTGTCCCACGAAAGCATAGCAACCTACAAGGGGTCTGGGACTCTGCCGTCGGAGGACGGGGCCCAAGATGACGACTTGTACCTGGTACGACAAGCGTCTGTTGGGTGTGGGTGCGGTTGCCATTGTCTCATGTCGTTCCTCCACTGTTTGTGCCTGTCGAAGGTCCTGGCGGAAGCCGCAGGCTGTGTGAAGCTTCAGTTTGGCATGGAGTGCGCCTCGTTGCCACAAGTTGACAGGAATGGATTGCAAGGGTGCTTGGGTGCGTGCCTGTGTGTTGATGATGTTTTTAGAAGTCAGGGCGTACCCAAGCTGGAAAACGTTGTGTCCCTGTTGTTTGTAGTGAAAACCATGGATTGCAAAGCTGTCAGAATCGTCGTGGCAAACAGAAGCCTGGCACCGTGCCACCTACCATAGGGACTGAACTATCCAATAGTTGCCTGTTCAATATCCCAATACAATCATGTGTACACCTGTCCCATATACCATATCTCAAGACAAGTCCACAGCCTCCAATACCTTTCCATGAATCAGTATTGTGTCCTCCCTGCCGACACGACGTGACAGCCCCGGTGTGCCTCTGTTGCAGGCAACGGAGTGTCTCGATGGGGGGACATTGCGTGATGTGCTGATAAAAGAGATGCAAGCCAAGCATCACAGTCATCAGAAATACACACTGTAGGTCCTGAATGCTGCGGCGTGGATGTTTTCTTGATAGGAAGGAATCATGGAAAGCAATAGGTCCCCTGTCCTGAGCAAGGCTTGCTGTGGGGATCTGCTGCACAGTTGAGCATTTGCTAGAAATTTTGGTGGCAGGTGGTGGCTGTGACTGGGCTAATAGAGCCAACAGAGTGCTGTAGCAATGCATTGTGGATAAAATTACACATGCAAGACTGGGAAGCAGCAAGGTGACGCACATCGATTGGAACCCGATCTGTTTGAGGATATATCCCATTGTTGAGGTTGGGACATGCCCTTGTATCCGATCTCGCTTTAGCGCATGACCAGTGCTCTTAGTTGTCCGTAGGGCGGGGGTTCAATGTGCATGCTCGTTTCGTGCCAACAATGCTTCCAGAGTCACGAAGGGTAACAGCCCTGCGGTTATGCCTGCAAGTGCCTTGGCAAGGAACGTGGATGCTCAAACATGTGCTTTCCCAAGTAGGGAATGATAAAGAAGGTGAAGAAGCTCTGAAGTAGTATCTCTCCCTGGAGTTGAAATATGTAGCATACAGTTGATTTGCAGTCGTGGGGGTGAACAGATGCTGCTTCATGTGGGTGGTACCATAAGATGCTGAAACTACCCAGAAACGATGCTGGATGTCTGTGGTTTTGTATCAGCGGTAGGGGGCGGTACTCATTGATGTCAGGCCCAGGCATCAACTCATACATCAGGGCTCAGCGTGGGGAATGGCCACAGTCCCTTAACCAGATTTAACAGGATGCTGCTCCAGACCTGTGGCTGCTGAAATGTGTGCTATCTGGGCATGTGCACTTTTTTCCATTGCCTAGTAGCCATTTCTTGCTTTCAGATCTGGTCATCGCCTGTTGCGGCTATTCAACATGCCCTTGCTCATAAAGAGCAGCTGAACTGCACTGCATTATGGCATGGGTTGTCTTTTTGCTTGCAGGTTGCAGGCGGCCGATTGGATGCTAGATGTTGCCCGAGGCATGGCGTACCTACACAATGCTGAGCCGGTTGTCATTCACAGGGACCTGAAGCTGGAGAACATAATGCTGAACAGTGAGTACCGGGGCTAAAGAATGCCGAAACAGAACACACCAAAAGTGCTCAGTTAGCTGCAGTTGCCTGGTGGTGTGTTGCAAGGAAATTGGTGTCAACGTTACACCATGACTGTAACGTGCCCATGTCCTTCCTCAAACTCAGAAAGTACAGAAATGTGTCTCAGAAGCAGTGGCACATATGGCTCAACACACGGATTTCATACGATTATGATATTGTTAAGCAGATGTATATTATTTGCCTTGTGCATGCGATGCTTCATCCAAACTCAGCCTTGCTGGTATCAGATTGTATGTTCAGTTTTGTAACGTAGACAGCTTGACCAGAAATTTCTACAGAGTCGGTGACAATTTTTCTGTGCAAACTGGGCATATGTGTGCAGTATTATAGTCGTTTGTGCCTGCTGGGATAGTGAGGTGAGAAGCCTGAGGAGGTTTGCTGTCTGCACTTAAACCCACTGAATGTGGAGTGGTTGTTGCTGAAACTGCAAATACCACGAAGCATAAGACGACGGTGTGCAATATTTGCTGCAAGTCCACAGCCGCAGGGAGTGAGACTACATTGCAGTGTTGCACCATGGCCTCCTCATTCATTCTCATGGTGGAAAAAAGTGCTGTTAATTTAATTGGATTCTATCTCACAAATCTTGCAAGCTGTTGTGAATGGGCTGTGGTAAATGGGCGTGGTTGATGTCTGGGCTGTATGGCACTGTCTTCGAGTTAGCATTGTTCAAGTACATCGCTCAGGTATGTCAAGATGGTGTAGTTGCAGCTGTGGGGCAGGTGCAGGGGCTATTTAGATCTGCTAATATTTGGATACTGGAATCTAACTGCTGTGTCAGTTCATGACATCAACAAGAGATCGTAATCTTTCCTGTCTGCTGTGAAATAGGCCAGGGGCGTGCCAAGATAGTCGACTTTGGCCTCCACAAGGTGATAGGTAAGTTAACGAGGTCACTGATGAATGGTGGGTGGCTGTTCAGGGACTTCTTGCCAAATGTTCTTGTGCAGTTCATGGCTGACTTTGAAGAAATGGCCACTGTTTGCCGTCTCTTTACAGCTTTTGGTTGTTGGAGCACGTGTTGTGTGCATCTGTGTCAGTGTACTCTTGTTGTGCTCAGTGTGAAGCAACTCAGAAGTTAAGTCGCATATCACATTTGTTGTTATCAGCCAGTCGAATGGAACAGCTGACTGGGTGCCTCCGCCCCAGCAACTTTTGCCGACCTGGAAAGTCAATGGTCCAGGATATATACCAGTCTCACTGTGCTTGAACTGCTTGGAGCTGTTCGAGCCTCTCAGGTGTGTCGTCAGAGCATATAGAGAGCGCTAGTTTTGCTCCACCATTAAACCAGGTGCAAACCTTGTGGTTATGATGTTGCTGCCATCTTAGCCTCGTTGTTTACCATAGCACTTTGTGTGTGCAGTGCAAGCACATTCTCAATGACCCTCTCTCATTCCCCTTACTCTATTCCTGATCATGTGGATAGTGCCTGTCCATGTTCTGGGTTCATTCCTATTCCAACTCGCCCTCAGAGTTAGATACGACCAGGCGATGATAATGTGGCTCAAGACTTTCAAAGCAGAATCTCCAGTGAAAGATTCTCAAGAAGAAGGGCGGACCTTCCACTTTTGTTATCAAACACAACATGGTTGCTTTACTGAGTGGCATGTATGAAAGATTGCCAGATTGTTTTTCCCCATGGCGACACTCAAGTATTGAGTAAAGGCTGGCAGTCCATGCAAGCACGTGTGCAAGCTTTAGGTAACGACATGGTGTGCTTTGCTGCTGTCTTGCAGACAGATGGCTGAGAGAATATGTAAAGGATGAGGAAGGGCTGTATGAAATGAGTGGAGGCATGGGGGCATACATTTACATGGCACCAGAGTCATTAAAATCTAATCGGTACAACCACCTTGTGGATGTGTATGCTTTTGGCATCATCCTGTGGGAGCTGATGCACTACGAGATGTTGATAAATCGTGTTTCACTACACGGGACGACAGACGACCTCAAGAACTTTGCTAAATTTGTGTCTAGAGAGGTGAGACATTGACAGAGGCCAGTCTGAGTTGTGAAATGCTTGTGCTTGTATTGCTAGCAATGCAACAAGGGCTGCATGGGGAGCAGCGGAGGTGTAATGTAGCTGCAGGTCCCAAGCAATGTCCACGGGGTCCTGTTGGCGACACGAGCTGTGCCGCAGTGAAATAGTTTAATTTGATTTGTTGGAAGAGGATTGGCAAGTTGGCACTAGCGGGGGCAATATGCATGCTCGTTGGCTCGTTGACCAGCGCGCTTGTGAGTTTAGCATCAACAGGCTCACCTGCTTCTGTTGTTACTGTGTTGATGGCGTTGCTTGGCAGTTGCAAGCTTATTGTTGGCAACTCACAACAATTGTCCATTTGACACGTGGTGTTCATGTGTGTGCTGTGCAAGCATAGATGCAAGCAATCGCAAATTCAGATGTATGCCATGGCGACTTCGTTTATTTCATATTTCTGCTGTTGTTGTGTAGGCATGGCGGCCGCCCATCTCCAACGACTTGCCAAAAGGGATAGGTGCGGCAGCAATGATGTCTGGGAAGTTCTTGTGGCATGGTGCTTGATGTAGAAAATCGTTGCTGCCAGCCCCGTGGTGCATCCGTTGCTGAATTACGCTTGTTTTGTTGCTGCATTGTAGTTAAGCTGATAGAGGACTGCTGGAGTCAAAGCCCCTCAGATAGGTAGGTTCTCAGTGATGCGCTCACCAATCAGAATCATGAGTGGTGAGCCTCTCAAGGCTGTTGCTCCAGTGCGTTGTTTATCTTGCCTAGAAAGTGATGTTAAGTTAACTCGATTGGCACAGCCTGAGCCCATGTATTGTCAAAGAATGTCAAAGGCCTGGGCTGAAACACTGGCCGCTGTGGCATGCAGGCCTGAGTTCAAGGACATAGTAAGACGTTTGAGGGAAGTGATTGGTGAGTTGGGTACCCCTTATGTGTGCCGGCCACATGCTGAGGTTTTGCACTTTGTGGTGAAGAACCTGCTTTACAAGACAGGACACCAGCCACCTGAAAGCAAATTGAGCGCAAATGCCGCAATGGCATGTTTTTAGTTTTCTAGTGTCATTGCCATCATGCAGTTGCCATATGACAGTTCTCCACAGATAGTGGTGTTGCTGGTTCAGTGGAATCCGCATGGATTCATTCTGCCAACATTGATGAAGCACCAGTGATTTTATTCGCTGTACGCGTAATTGGTTGGTTGGGGACACCCTTTGCCCATTAACTTGTGCAAAACCTTCCATCTCTTACCAGCAGAAAAGTGAAAGCAAGCAAGAGAGGCTGCAGGGCAACAAGCTGCAAGTTTCACGGCTGTGTGGTTGCAATGAGCAGCTGTACCACCATGGCCAATTCTGCTAGTGCAGTTGTGCTGTGGCCTCATATGACCCTGCATACCCATGTTTTGATACCTAGTTATTCCCCTGCCCTGGGGATCCAACATTGTGCTGACAGTGCATCAGTGCATCAGTGCTGATAACCTTCAGCACTTTTGGAGCGCTGGGCAGTCCATCATAGTCGCATTTGTTTGCTGATGCCATGCATACATGCCTGGCCCACAGTATATGTATATCTGCTAGCACCAAGGGCATTGTCTGTGATGGACCAAATATCCCCCATGTCCGATTCTTTGTGTATTCCTTGAGCACCAAGAACACGGGTCACAGTCTGGGAACGTTCTTGCTCGTTAGTGCCGAAATGTAGTGAAGGATCGACCTGTTGGCACAGGCAGGCGATCGAATTGGTACATGGGTTTTCTCTGGTTTGTTGCCAAGGACTTCAAAGCCCTTGCGGAAGGCTCTGTAGGGTCAAAGGTTCTTATGTTGACACTGACATTCCACTGTAATCGTTTCCTTGCCACCAGCAACAGAACTGGGTACCAGCGTTGCTGGGTTGCTTGCTGACATCCATGCATTGTGTAATGGACTGTGAATGGCAGTTGGCCATTTCGGCAGTGTGCACAGCTGCAGGGAAAGACCTCTCCATGCTGTTTCCTGTCACCTCACTGTCCACTTGTGGAACGAACCTTGCATCCTGACAGAAGAAGGGGGCGTGGCTCGCGCAGGGATGTGCAGAAGTCCATAAATCCACTTGTATGGCATCTGTTCGGTGTTCGACTAGTTGTCCAAGCACCTGCCGATCAAGAAACAGCAGAATGCTGCGGCGATCGCACGCTCTGACAGCAATGTGTGCTGGGACGGGTGCAGCTGAGTTGAAGGAGCAGGAAATGCAGCAATGTCCTGAAAAGCAACCTTCAGGTCAGCAGACACCGACGCCGCGAGACTACGATCGACGTGTCACATCGAGCCAACCGGAGCAAGGGGTGCACCCGCGCCCGGCTGACAGGAAGGCTTGGCGATTCTGCTGCTTCTGACAAGCGCTCCAACCACTCTGGCAGAGATGCAAAACTGTTGCTCAGTTCAATGCGGTCCTTTGTAGGCATGAGCGCACCGAGCAGTCAGCGTCCTGGCAGCTGGACGAGTATTCGTTCTGGGTGCGTGCCTGCTTCATGAGCCATTGATAGTTGGTCGCAGCCGGCAGGCCAAGTTCAATGGCACGAACTAGTATGTCTGAGAATGTGGCACTCGCCTAGTTGGCAGTTTTGAAGCATCCAGTATTTGTTTATATTATGAAGAGGCGGCAACGGCTAGAGGTCGATTGTGAGTGCAGGCAGACCTGCAGTCGTGCGCTTTGCGGGGGACATGCATGCAAGAGACAAGCGCTGTGCATCCTAGTTCATTTCAGTTTGCTTTTAGTCACAGTAGGGAGGATGCACAGATTCAACCCGGCTGGGGTGGTGGTTGCCCAATAGGAAAAGGAACGCCGTGTTTTTCTCAACCCACGTGCCTTGGGTGCACGCAGTTCAGGGCGTCTTGTTTAAGCGGGCGCTTTACCGCGGCGGTGGGGGAGGTCGCTGCGGGTTAGGGTGCCCGTAGTTTTATATTGTGTCACTGTACATTAAAGAGGGCGGTGCCATGGGCACCCGAGATGTTGAGAGGCCACGCCCGTCGAAAGGAGGGGTCCGGGTCGCCAGAATTGGTCCCCAGAGCAGTGGTGAACGGGTGAACGGGGGAGCCC